TTCGGGTGGTATGTTAGCTCCAGGACAGACAGCGTCTCTCACGCTTCTCGTGCGCGAAACTTCATTCGCTGCGTCTTGAGCAGTGGTAGACCCGAGGTTCTCACAAGCGAAAAAGTTCCTCGTTGCGAAAAGCGACAAAGTCGACTTCTGTTTCAGCGGACCACACTCGTAGAGCTCAGTGGTTATACTTAAAACGGGCGAGTTTAGGTCGCAGCTATTGTTCATCCGGACCGGGGTGTGGTTCAGTAGTGCAGAAGCGACCTTTTCGTGTTTTGCAGTGCGAAACGTTTTTCGCTGCGGAACCTCAGGTCCACCGCTGATCATGAGTGGACCTGGGGTTCCCGCAGCGAAAAAGTTTCGCGCTGCGAAACGCGAAAAATTCGCTTTCTGTCCCAGAGAACCAACCGTCGAACCGAATGTCCGATCGCACAACCGAGTGTGGGGATACGCATCGATCGCACGATCGTCCAACTCATCTGATCGCGCGATCGTGCGATCGTTCCGACTAAACTATAATTGTGGCCTAACTTAGTTGACCATTGGAGGAATCCGTTGTTCAGTAACCTTAAGCATAAATATTAGGCAGCTGTCGTGATAAATATCGAAATTATAGTTTTGGGATTCATTCGGTAAGATGTTTATCAGGCTCGGCGTTTCATGAATATAAATACAGTCCAAATCTCGAAGTCTGATTGGGCGTGTCACCGGAAATGACGTGGCAGCCACCGCACTTGATAGAAGTTGCGCGGATAAGCTGCTTCCAACACGCTTTGCTGATATTCAGCAGTGTGTTAGAAACAGCTTACCCCATCGACTTCTATCAAGTGGCTGCCACGTCATTTCCGGTGACACGCCCAATCAGACTTCGAGATATGGACTGTAGAAAAGAACGTTACTGTAGTGCAATCGCGTAAAATTATTCATAAGTCCATTTCAACGTTATTACGCCCTTGTGGCAGCATTCAAAGGATGACAAAGTGAGCGAGAATCATTCGCAGGTTCTCGGCGTGCTTTGCCATCCCTTGGACTGATTGCTTGGTATTCTATAGCTTTCACCTCATTGTGGAATTGACTACAGATGTTAAGAAATTCGCGTATCGGTTTACCTGACTATTCTAGATTGTTGAAGTTGGCTTTATTGACCATTCCATAACAGTGTGATTAGAAAAAAAATGTGCTTGAATTAATATTCAAGACAGGTAGAATAACGCAGTTAGTCTTATCACAGTAAAAGGTAAATAGTTTGCTTGTGGAAAACTGAGGTATTCTATCCGTTTTTCCTGTTTAGGACTCGAATTTTGTCCGAAGTAAGCTCAAAGTCGTCATCGACCTTACAAGGCGGCACCCTCATAATTCTTGGTAATTCAATCGTTTTACAACCTAAGCAGTAACTAATTCGCTAACTCAATCTTTTCAGGTGATAATCAATCTGGAAAGTCGTCTCTACTAGCTCGATTGGAGAAAAACGAGAGTCAGGGCCAGCGTTCAGCTCTCGAGTATCATTTCTTGAATGTACAGAACGATTTCCGCGATGGCAGCTACGCGTACCAGTTGGGTACCGCAGGTGCTCTTGGGCCAGCAGAAAATTTCAGTTTACCGGTGAGTGTCGTTTGCTATTTTACAGACTTTAGGCCGATGACGTTGCAAATTCCGGTTGCACCAGAGAATCGTACTGTGTACCAACGGATCGTACGATATATAAGCGACTCAACACTTTGACAGTGGCGGGACCCGACGTTTAAAGGAAATCCGCCACTTTCAAACAGTGTGTTCCGTTGAAGTAGACTTCCGTTCAACGTTGGGTCCCACCACTTTCAACAGCGTCGATAGATCCGCAGGTACATCGTTCGGTCCTCCGGCACATAGTTCAGTTCGCTGGAACGCTGTTCGATTATGCTGGTGCAACGCTCGTCGATTCGCAAAGTCTGACATCGGCCTTAGAGATACCTGTGCACGTAGCTTTATGTATTGTATGTCTAGTGTATAACTGTCAAATGCGAGCGCGACAAACCGAAGGCGTGCGTGATGGCGCGTAGTTGTGTAAGCCAAATACCTGCAGCTGAGGACTACGTGCTTAACATCCATGTGTTTTGATCAACTTTCGCACCTGAATGCGAATCGTAATTCGCAGTCCAAATACCAAATAAACATCATTTCATAGATCTTATAATGTTCGGCTCACTAGCAAAATCCAGCGATACGTAATGGACGAATTTTCATGTATTTATTCTCCTAGAGTAATCGGTCCGTTTTAGGTATGGATGTTGGATGGCGAGGAGTGCTTCGCTCCGCTTATCCAGTTTGCTTTACCATTGCCCTCCCCCGCCAAAACTGTTGTTCTTTTAACAGCCTCTATTGACAACCCCGGTATGTTCATTTCGCTTCTGTTTTTTTTTTTGTAATCTTTTTTTTTCAGGTCTGATCCATTCAATACGGCGATGGGCTAACATACTCACTCAACAAGTCATCCAAAAATACGATAAAGCTACTATCACGGAAGCTAAAACATTACGTCAGTCGCTTGGCTTTGAATTTGTTGGACGATTTAAATTCTTATGGAGTAGCGTTTTAGAAGAACGGTTTTGGCAAGAATATGTTGAACCTGTCGAATCGTCCATGACGTCTTCAATGGCTCCGGGAGCACTGGATGATGCTGGCTTGCTTCCATTAGAACAAGGCGT